GACAGTTTTCACAGATTCTGTTTATTTTGTTCATCAGTTTGTATAAATATCAGTCATGAGGTTTTTAATGTTCAAGTATTTTTGGCTACAACAAAGATCATATATTGATCTTTTTAACTATAAAAACTTTCATAATGTGCCAGTTGATGCTTGGTGATAAAGGTTGACACTGGAACAGGGATTTTGCTGTTGTGTTGTTAAATTGATAATTATATTTAAATAATATATCACAGGTAATCCTCTGCTCAGTACATATCTGCCTTTTAAAGGACTTTTTTGTAGTAATATTGGTATTATCGACATTTTTTTTTTTTTTGGGTGGGGGGTAAAAAAGTTCAGGTTCAGGATTTTTTTTCCACTATCACCCCTGGTTTATGTTTTAAATGCACTGTCCTAATTAAATAAAATGAATGAATGAGTTTCAACACCTGAGCCCTGGTACATGCAGGAAATCAGGTCCATCAAAACCTTCTTGATTAGAAAATCTAACCCAGAGGAGCCCAATGTGGGGCCCGCGGGCCAAATTTGGCCCGRCAAGCCATTTGATTTGGCCCACCAACAGTTGCCAAAGTTACAAGGTTGTAACCTATTATCCTATGTATATACACAGTATTTCCATTGGTCAAATGACTATATAAAAGGGCTGTATACATATATAAAAGGGCTGTATACATATATAAAAGGGCTGTATACATATATAAAAGGGCTGTATACATATATAAAAGGGCTGTATACAGCCCTTTTTATATAAAAGGTAGTGAAGGTAGTTTTCATTCATTGTGCTGACTTTATCTTTGATTTTTTTAGGATTAAATGTGAGACATGAAATGACAAGAAATATTTTGTTCAGATTTAACCACACATGTAGATTTGCACACTTTATAAGACAACAAAAACTCATATTTTATCAATTTATGAAATGTCCCATGAGCCTTTCCTACTTGAGCATATGGCAGACTTTCTCCAAGTGCACAGGCTAAAACAAAAGAGGACCATTGCACAGCTTAATCGTTAAAAATAAGGGACTTTACTTTAAAAAGTATTTGTATTTCATGTACTATATTATTGTATTTGGCCCGCTGTCCTGGATAGATTTTCATTTTGGCCCCCTCGGGGAAAATGTTTGGGCACCCCTGATCTAACCAGTTGAACAAGGAGAGCAACCATCACTACACTTTAGAAGACCTTCTACAGAAGCTCTGATCCAGTCCCACAGTGAGGAGAACCTGAGTCAGACCCAGAACTGGCTTAATTACAAATCTATAAGGATTGATGTTATTGAATAAAAAAACATAAACAACATCATCTAATATTGTTGTCTCATCCAGCCTACATTTCCTCTTTAATGCTGTTACACAGTTAGAATCCTTACAGTATAAATGGAAGTGATGTTGCATGCTTAGATGCAGACATGGAGTGACAACAGAGAGGATGAAGTGTCTCCTGACATGAAATGCAAATTCTCCCTAAATTTCAGGTCCTGCTGCTGCATGTATCAAATGCGCAATAAAACACTGCAGTTTCTATTTAAAAAAGAAGTTTGGGGTGGGCGTGACATTTTTAAACACAACCACAGCAGTAATGAGTGTACTTTAACCTGAGATAATTTAATGTGTTTTACCAAAACAACTAGACTTGTTTAAGCTTTTTTTTAAGTTTTGATTTTTTTAATATATTTTGTTTTGAATTAAATTTCAGACTGCAATTAACTGTTTATAAAAAGGAGTAGCCCCGAGATTTTGGAGGAGATCGTCACTTCTGGCTTGAAGTCTCTTGATTCGACTCAGGCTCTGTTATTCTGAATTAACCCTGACTGTTCAAGAATAACCCATGTCTGCAGAGTCATTTCTTTTAATCATCGCATCACGTCTGGTATTTTGAAGACCCAGAAGAATTTCCGTCGTCGAAGACTCTTCACTATCCCACCCAAAGCTAAAGAAGTCCATTTTAAAATAATAAACAATATTTATCCCTGTGGGGATTTTTTGAACTCCAAATTCAATATTGTGGAGAATGAACGTACTTTTTGCAATCTATAGAAACACAAACAAAACACAAGAGTTTCTTATAATCAATTTGTTTATTTTGGTCAAATACTTTGTTCACAACTGTAAATTTGCCAAAACAAAACCACTTTTTCTCTGTGTTTCTTAAGGATTTGTCTTTGTTAAGAGACACTTTGAAACTTTGCAATTCCCAGTCAACCCATGAACATTCTTCAACAGACAACATGAGTCACTTATTACCATGTTGCTCTCTTGAGACTTATCATTGACATTCCACAGCTGTGTTTGGGTTCATATATTGTCACCTGGTGGATAAGTGACACACATATGAACAAAATGTGCAACAGCTTTCACCCTCAGCTGTTAACATTAACGTTGATCAATAGCATTTATATACCTCAGTTAGTGCTTCTAAATTTAGCCTATAAGATTAGCAACTGCTAATCCACTAATAAATTTTAAAATTAGCAAATGCCCTTAAGCACTAATCAGGAAACTATCCACTATTAGGGCTTTAGGAGAACTGTGCTCACCACTGTATATTAATAAAACTTTTTAATAAACGTTTTAAAACGTGTCAATTTGAGCCTCAACATAACAGGATTAAATATTCTGCAGTCAGTGTAGAATAATCTAATCCAGGTTTGAAGTCTCTACGTGTTTTAGGTTTTAAACTAACTAATAATATGATTTTGCAGACTAAATCATTTCTGTATGTAAATTGTTCAAGTGTTATTTAAATAGTGATTCAAGTGTTTTGAATTCTTTTGGTAGCACGAAGGATGAGTTATTTTAACGTGACCTCTTGAGCCCACAGGTCAGGATTCCTCTCAAACTGAACTTTGTTCTTAAAAAGATTTTTACAGTCAAATGCTATCTTGATCTTTCATTAATCTGTTCTTGTTTTGCAGATAATACTGATGTGAGAGTCTGTTTCATTCTTTTGTGATTTATCATAAAAAGAGTATGATTACATTTCTGTGACATGATTTTCCTTTTTAAAAGGCATTTTATTTCAAGTGTGTCTGATCATGCTGTGAACTGAATATTAATCTGAACTGACCACTAACCATCTGAGGACAAATGTGATTTACTGCAAAACCAGAAGTTCTTGCTGACTTTGCGGCTGGGGTATCCTTTAAAGTGCTGTTTGTGATGGGAAGCCAAGCTGTCCCCAGAAAGAGCTGCTACCTTCCTGCAGTGAGGATGAACTTCTGTGCAGTGACTCCCCCAGCCAAGTCTGAGGAAACCTGTCTCCACCTGGGTGAGACTGAAACTGGACCTTTTAAGCCTTCACACAGTGCTTCACAGAGCAGTCTGYGGAAACTCAACAGCTGAGGCTAAATTGACAACCTAATCTGCAGTAATAAAATTACTAACATTTAATCTGGCAAAACTCTTTACTGTCTAATTTTAAATTAATTAATAGAAGCCAAAAAGTTTCCTTCTGAGGTAAAATATGTCTGTTGGTTCTTCAAGGTTATAAATGAACATCCAGACCTTAACTTAGACTTATAAAATCAAGTCTTAAATAATTTTCACCTTTACTGTTTTAAAAACATGATTGCTTGTCTTTCATGGTATTTTTACTGTTTTTATGCATGATTCAATGACATTTATTCTATATATATTTGTAATAAATTACCATAAAAGACAAAGCTGGTTCCTCATCTTTGAGATATTTGATCTGAGATAATAATTCCCTGCATATAATACAAAAGTGTGAATAAATCACAGTAAATCTGGTGTGGTGCCCTCAACAGGTTAAAAAGTGTAGTGTTGGGCAGAAATATTATCACCCTTTCTATCTCTCTCCTTTGCACTAGCTACATTTTAAACATTCTTCAATTAAAACAGTTGAGCAGCATACTGTTCTGTTTATTTATTTATTTTGTGAAATGATTGAGTTAAATTGCAAGGGAAACAAGTGCTATTTAATATCTAGTAAAAAAAACGGAACATTTTAAGTTAACATTTTATAACTGTACGCTATAAATTGATAGTGGATTATGCTGCAAATGAATATCCATCAAATCAAAATGAGATCAAAATGGTTGTAAATATTTAGGTAGTACAACCTAAAAAAAACATTTTTAAACATTAGCTAAAAGACAACTACAGTCAGGAATATCACAAATACTTTTTCAAAATTATGCAAATTAATTTCAGTGAAATTGGCACATTCATATATTTTCATGAGTAACAACTATTTACAGTGATTCATAACTTGAGACGTAAAGGGATCCCCGGTTAGTTGTAACATTAGACTTTATTTGATAAACATATATTGTAACTGTAAAATAAAGACTGTAAAAATACTGTAGGATGTTCAGTTTTTATCATTTTTAAACTAAAAGTTTTAAAATATATTACATGGACGGGGCCATTTTATTTACATGCAAAGCATTCTGGGTAATGATGATGTCAACTAGGTCATCGGTGGGAGGCTGCTAGCGAGCTATATCCACCCTGAAGGTTAAWCTTGGACAATATCTGATGATCGACTCTTTTAAATGAAACCAGAGAGCGTTGACAGAGAGGAGAAGGTAGAAATGACTCAGCCTGMAACTGAAAATATGGATGGAGAACAGTTGACATCATCATTTACCCAGAATGCTTTGCGTGTAAATAAAATGGCTCCATCCGTGTTAAAATATATTTTTAAAAATTATAAAAACTAAACAGCCTACAGTATTTTTACAGTCTTTATTTTACAGTTAAAACATATGTTTATCAAATAAAGTCTAATGTTTCAACTAGTCGGGGATCCCTTTAATATTTAAAAAGCGAAGGAACAAAAGGGTGATTTACACATTTCATGATTCTTACTGCATCAACGTAAACACATCATTGAAGGTGTTGAAGTAAAACATGTTCAGTTTGGATTTCATCTGATCAATGAAGGATTCAAAAACGCTCAACAGTTCTTGTTGTAAGCGTGTCGGTGACAAAGTGGCACCATTCCAGTCCAGTGATGTCCAGCTGACACTGTACCTGCCAGCAGTAGGCTTGTGAACGCCTCAGACTTGCATGGCCATCCTGAACCTTGAGGTGAGCAACTTGAAACACATCATTCTTCGTACTACTTTTGACCTCAACCAGTCCAAATGGGGGCAATTCTGATGGGTCATACACCCTGCCATCTGGTGTTGCACCAAGATAAGATGTGTCTGGGCGAGCGACGACTCCCACAGGGAGCACGTTGACACTCAGCATCTCAGCATAGTTTGCCAGCACCTCTGACTCCATCTGCAGGCCACGCTTCATGACGGCAGCTTGTTCAGTGGACCCCCTGATCATCCCAGCTGCCAGTGCTGTGGCAGGAGACGACTCCTCCGCACTTCCTCTGCAAGCTTCATGGAAATGGCTACTGAAGGTGTATAAGTTGAACAAGTGTGGGCACAAAAGACATGTTGGGAAGACTATGCAGCATCAAAGGAGGAGCTACCGCAGGACTTCTCAGGTGGGCACTGGTAGGACATCGCTGAGCCCTGAGGCACAGGCCCAAATTTGGATGACACCAGCTCCAGAGTTGAGAGACCATCTAGGCCAAGGGCCATAAGGGGTTGGGACTCCAGATGGCATAGTTTTTCTCCTGATGCCAGGATGTCAGGATCTGGAAGTGATCCTACAAATACGAATTACGTTATCACATTAAGTTTTGAAAAAGGAAACATGGGCATGAAAAAAAATTAACCTATAAGTTATACTTGTGTAAGCTCTGTAACGTGTGGAGTGCAGACATCTTTTCCCCACAGTTTTGGGCTTTCGCACCACCACCTCGCTGGCAGGTTCAGGATGGATCCCCTTGCAAGAAATAAATAGAAAAATATGCTAAAGAAACAAAACAAAATAAATAAAGGGACAAGTGAGAGCAGTTTGGTAGGACACAGTGGGACAGATTTTTGAGAATCAATATTTTGATTAATTTGCAAATACTAATAATTGATAGCAGTAGAAACTTCATTTTTTCATTACCTACAAAAATAAAATATTCCAAACAAGTTAGAAGAGAAAATATTTAACACATGCAATATTGAAACTACGACACATTTCACATGGCACTAATTATAATGCAGATGGGAAAGAAACTTAAATGGCTGTGCAGCACAATCAAAAGAGGGATAGGTAGACACCATAGCTATATTGTTATTTTGAGAATATCATGTACGAAATGATAGTATATAATATCATTTAATATAATGACATCATATACAATGTGACAAGGACGTGTTCCACTCTTTTTTATTATTTTATTTTACCTGTGTTCTTGATCTGTTTTATTTTACCTGTGTTATTGGTCTGTTTTACCTGAGTTCTTGATCTGTTTTATTTTACCTGTGTTCTTGATCTGTTTTATTTCACCTGTGTTCTTGGTCTGTTTTATTTTACCTGTATTCTTGGTCTGTTTTATTTTACCTGTGTTCTTGATCTGTTTTATTTTACCTGTGTTCTTGGTCTGTTTTATTTTACCTGTATTCTTGATCTGTTTTATTTCACCTGTGTTCTTGATCTGTTTTATTTTACCTGTGTTCTTGGTCTGTTTTATTTTACCTGTATTCTTGGTCTGTTTTATTTTACCTGTGTTCTTGGTCTGTTTTATTTTACCTGTATTCTTGGTTTGTTTTACCTGAGTTCTTGATCTGTTTCATTTTACCTGTGTTCTTGGTCTGTTTTATTTTACCTGTATTCTTGGTCTGTTTTACCTGAGTTCTTGATCTGTTTTATTTTACCTGTGTTCTTGGTCTGTTTTATTTTACCTGTGTTCTTGGTCTGTTTTATTTTACCTGTGTTCTGATCTGTTTTATTTTACCTGTGTTCTTGATCTGTTTTATTTTACCTGTGTTATTGGTCTGTTTTATTTTACCTGTGTTATTGGTCTGTTTTATTTTACCTGTATTCTTGGTCTGTTTTATTTTAACTGTGTTATTGGTCTGTTTAATTTGACCTGTGCTCTTGATCTGTTTTATTTTACCTGTGTTCTTGATCTGTTTTATTTTACCTGTGTTCTTGATCTGTTTTATTTTACCTGTGTTATTGGTCTGTTTTATTTTACCTGTGTTCTTGATCTGTTTTATTTTACCTGTGTTATTGGTCTGTTTTATTTTACCTGTATTCTTGGTCTGTTTTATTTTACCTGTATTCTTGGTC